CCCTGATGTCTTATTAAATTTCTGCCTTTTACTTGAATTTTATGGTATCATTTTGCCAGGACTACATTTTACAACTTATCAGTGTGTGTTATTCACAGAGGTGATTAAAAAATTTCCAAAGCAGTATTAGAGGGTCTCCTTTAACAAGCTCCAACATGTTTAGACAACATTCTACACTTAAGCAAAGAAGAGAGATAATGAACTGTATTTCCTGGGTCTTTGAATGTTTATCTGTGCAGTCACATGACCTATAATTCTAACCCACTTAGTCTCAGGACTTCATAGCTTCTTCAAATCTGCTGTGTTTGTCTTAAAACAGAGCAATTAGCAGAAGCTGAGTATAATTTTATGGTATGCTTGGAGGGCAGGGCTCCTGCCACATACCATAGTTTTATAAGATTTCAAATGGGCCTTTGAAGAACTAATTAGTCTTGTCTTGATCATGCAGTATATGTGTTTGAAATTGTGTGTTGACTCTTTTATAGCCTTATAGCAGAGGGACACTTTAGGAAACAACATCTCTATGGATAGACCCTTCAACTACTTCTACCATGCTATGTTCAGAGTAGCTGTGGTTCAGAATCATTATCCATGTGCTTAACTGTAAACTTCTCCACAAGAGAGTCCACAAGGGTCTCGTGGTTGACACCATGCAAGAAGTCAGAAATTCTAATCCCAATTTAAGCATGAAAGCTAGTTGGGTAACCTTGGGGCAGTCATTCTTTCAACCCAGTGCATTTCACAGGGTGGTTGCTGTGGGGAAAATAGGAGGAAGAAGGAGTATTAGGTATGTTCACCTCCTTGAGTTATTTATAAACAGGTAGGAAATAAATTATTAATATGCTTATGTAGAGTAGCATAAGGAATCTATTTTTCTATGCATAATGTATAGTTATTAAAAGGGAAACATGCAGATCATTTATGTGTACTGAAGAAATTGGAAAGAATAGAAATATTTCCTGCAAAGCAATTGACAATTTTTTTCAGAAAGAGCAAAGTACTTTTCAGTCAAAGATAAGGTTGTCCAAACTAGCTGCAATCTTTTGGATGACCTTAATAGCCCAGCAAAGTGAAGAAAGAGGGAAAAGATTTGTTTGCAGACATGGAGGTAACTTATCATAAATGCTTTGATGGCAATTATAGTCCAGTGAGAAAAAGAGAGAGAGAGAGAGAGACGTAGTATGGATTACCATACTTTTATTACATTATTACAGATTATATCTTATGTAATATATATTATTATTATATATTACATAAATGGCTGTGTTAAGCAGGTCTGTAAGAAACTGATCATTTGGGAAATGTTTTGAACTTTTGAACTGATTCCAAAGAGGTAACCCTGTTTGTTGCAAAAAAAAAAACCCAAATTTATTATTTATTTATGTATTCAATGTATATGCCTTCCATTGCATTTAATTTATTTACAGTTGGCAAAGAAAAGCCACTCTTCCAAAAATGAAGAGAAAGGCCTTCCTACCATCACAACAAAATAGTCAGAGACTTCTCTATCTTTATCTGGTAGATAATAGGCCATCCTGAGCTGATACAGCAAAAGTTGGTATGATTTAATAGATATTAAGTTGTGATTACCCGTAGAAAACGAAATTCAAATTGTTGGCCATGTCTGTAATGATACTATATAGGTAGTCCTCAACTTAACAACTATTTGTTTAGCGATTCAAAGTTACAGGCAGGGGTGGGATTCTACCGGTTCTGTCCAGCTCTGTAGAACCGGTAGCTCTGAAGAACAGACACTGAACTGGTTTTGTGTCTGCTGCTGTTTTGGCCCACCCACCTGCCTGGGCTCTTTCTTACCTGTCCTTTATTTCCTGCTTTTTCAACCTCAGCTGCTTGCTTTTTCAAACACTGCACACCCGCATGCAGCTCTGCTCAGCTATCCGGGCAGCTCAGCAGTTTGTTAATTGCGCATGCGCTCACGACACATAACCACCAAACCGGTAGTTACATCAATTGGATCCCACCCCTGGTTACAGGGGCATTGAAAAAAGTGACTTACAACCAGTCCTCACCCTTATGACCATCACATAGTCTCTTGATCAAAATCTGTAGTGCTTGGCAACTGGCATGTATTTACGATGGTTGCAGTGTCTTGAAGAAACAAAGTCAATGGGGGAAGCCACATTCATTTAACCACCAGGTGATTCATTTTAACAACTACAGTGATTTGGTTGACAAACATGACACCACCACCACCACCACCCAAAAAAAAAATTGTAAAATTGGGCATGTCTCACTTCACCACCACTTTGCTTAGTAAGAAATTTTGGTTTCACTTTTGGTCGTAAGCCAAGAGCTACCTGTAATTTTATTTATTAATTAAACGTGCTTGCATTTTGGCCATTGTAAAATAACCAGAGGACAGTCATGGGCCACACATATTATAAAAGTATTACATTAAGTAATTTCAGTTGAGGGAGGCAATAGAGGGCATCACTGCAGTCAGAGAAGTTTAGATGGGAGGTAGCATTATGGCAATTTGATATTTTGTGAATAGACTTTCTTCCTCACCTCTGCTGTGACTTCTCAAGAATATCAGTTCATTTTCCAAATGAGCCCTTGTTACTTTGTAAATCTGTCATTACCTAAGATAACATTGTGTTTAAGTGCAAGACCACTGAATCTCAAATGCGTTTTTTTCAAAAGGCAATTGGTTGGTTTTTTTCTTTGAGAAAGAAGATGATGATGTTTAGTTTCTCATCCAAGAACCTTCATCACTTGTGACAACCTTGATGAAGCTTCTTGGGTGAGAAGTAGAACGTCATCTTCCTCAAAAGAAAAATCAGCCCAGCTGCCTTTTAAATAAGCACCTTTGAGATAACTGATGTGGATGACTGAGAATCTCCATAGACACAAGGCCACTGAATGTTTGCAGATCAAACATTTAAAGTATTTAAATTTCAACTTCTTATCGTAAAAGTAAACAAACCCAAAAGAGGGAAAGATAAAGTTCATTGACTCAGCATATGGTAATACAGTACTATAGATTAACCATATGTGAGATGGGAAATTAGGACTCGGTTAGTTGGTTTGGGGATATTGTTTCTCCAGGACAGTGTTTCTTGGCAACTTTGATGTGTGGACTTGAGAGCCAGAACGCTGCCTGCAGAGTTGAAGTCCATTCATCTTAAAGTTGCCAACGTTGAGAAACACTGTCCTAGAGGAACAGTGGAGCAATACACAACCTTGAAAAACTGAAAAAAACATTTCAGAAAGAAGCAGTGCTAAATCACTTCCATATTAATAAAGGAGAATATTTGTATCTCGGGGTGCAAATGAGGGGTCCTTGGTGCTCTCTGAGCTTGGTTGTTTTCTTGCATAGATTAACAGCAAGATTAACATCAGACCAAGAATCAAGAAGTAAACAATACCCCAATCAAGAAATTGCCAAACAAGCTAACAGTTAACAACCTTATCAAAGTAATTCCAAGACCCAGTCCCACTGACGCATTAGCAAGCCACTGGAATATAAATTGAGAACAAATCCCATTTCCTTGTAGCACTGATGATGTTTTGGGTAATGAAATGTCTGCAAGAAAGCCACTAAGCTCAGAGAGCACCAAGGACCCCTTCCTTCCATATTGTTATCCAGATAATTACATGGAAAGGTTTACAATTCACCAGGAATCAAACCCGGGGGTCTACATCACAGGTCTTCAAACCTGGCAAGTTTAAGACTTGTGGACTTCCAACTCCCAGAATTCCTGAGCTAACATGACTGGAGGAGGAATTCTGGGAGCTGAAGTCCACAAGTCTTAAAAGCTGGCAAATTTGAAGACCCCAGTCTACATCAAAGATATTTCATAGGCTAGAACACCCTAAAGATATTTGACTTCAACAGCTGTAACCCCAAATTTAGGACTACCTCATCTGGTGTGCAAAAATCTGGATCACCCCTAGTTGGCAATAAGGAAAGATGGCCTTTGCAACCCTAGTTGGTAAGGTTGACTAGCAATTATGGAGTTAGAATCCAGGACAAAGTAGAAAAACTAAGACACTGTCTAGCCTAAATGTGCCATTCTGAAAAAAAAAATGTCTCCATGCCTTAAGGCAGGGGTCTCCAACCTTGGCAACTTTAAGCCTGGAGGACTTCAACTCCCAGAATTCCCCAGCTGGCTGGGG